TTAAGCGGGCAATCGCTATTCAACCCTCGACATTGTCGGGTAATGGAACGCCAGGGGAAGTGTTCCCTTCATAAATTCAGTATAATTCGTTACTAGTTCTCCGCTTTATTCAACAAATTGGATTATCAAACGAGCTTTATGCTCTGTACCGATAGAGGTATTAGTCGGCGAATTTTATTCGTTTTTACAGGCTGGTTTTCAAAAATTAAACGATATTTATTAGTAAAAGTGTAAACTCATGGAAGCAGCTCAATATGCGTCGTTTTTACAGTTATGTAAACGCAGTCCGGTCAGGCGAAAGGGAAAAGTCATGCTTATATCTCTTCTTACATATCTCTTCTAAAGAGCTCACTTAAGATGGTCAATTCGGCAGTTTATTGGCGAATAGATAAAATGAACTTCATTCAATGTTGTACCGTTAATTAGGAAAAACTCTTCAAAAGACATTTTTTTTTTAAATTTTAATCTTCTTATGATTACTTTACAATGAAGTAATTGCGAACATTCGGATTACCGGATGCTTGTGGATCATGTAACTTCAACAGGGCGTATGATTAATATTTTTTATTTTCCAATCCTGGTACGACCAAAATCCAAAAGTTATAGAAAATTAATTTAAATAAAATATTAAGTTAGGTTTTCTAACCACAAATTGGAGGAGGAGCTCGGCCGAAAATGTTTTCAGCAGTTGGAAATGTATATGTATGTATATGTGTAATTACACTCCTGCCGTGCACACATCTGTTGAGTGCAAGTAAATATTTAAAAATGTTTTTAATCCAAAAGAGCGCCTTCACAATAAATGTCAATCACAATGTTTTAGTACAAACACGCTTTAGACATAAAAATTTTAATCTATCACCGCTTAAATTTAAATGAATGAATTAAGTCAAACTTATCTCTGTTTAGGAAAACTCAACACATCTGGGGGCAACATGAGCACGTATGCACAACGGTTTAGAATTAAAATTATTTCGTTTCACACTCATCATCTTACTGAGCATAAGCGAACATCCCGCTCTAGCATATGTGAACATTCATTTATATATAATTTACTGTTAGCAATTGGCTGGTATGCACTTATTCTTATTTATAATAATTCATATTTTATTTTCTTAAGTGTTTAATTGCATTCTTACAATAAGTTTGTACTAAATGTATGTGCGTGCTAACACGAGAAGCTGCTTTGGAGTATTTTATTGTATATAATAGTTAGTTGTTTGTTGGATTTCGTTCTGAAATCAAAAAAAAAAACAGAAATAATAATAATAATAATAATTAATAAAAAAAATTGCATGAACTATTATTATTTTTTCAAGTACTTTTCATATGTACACATAAAAATACATACTTACATACATGAGTATGCATAGGGTACTCTTGGGTTCCAATTCTACCAGACGTAACATTACTGTTGTAATTGCACTGCTTTTCAATGCCTGTGGCTTATTAAAATAGATTAATAATTTTTTTTTTATAAAACTGAAATGACAGCATCACGCCAACGCTTACCGCGACACAACAACAGATATATACATATATATATATATGTAAACAAAAATAAGTTTAATTGTGGCGATAGCAACAACAATTCATGCCCTAAATGATAAGAAATGCATTGAGCGAGCTCTCCTACAAAGTTATTTGTAAACATTCTTATGTATATATATATGTATGTATGTACATGTTTACAAGCATAAGTATTTATGAGCATGTTTATTTTTAAACATTGAAATTTATTTTAACACTCACCCACATGTGTATACACACATACGTACCTACATATATACGCATGAAGATTATTTAAATAACAAATCTTGCAAGAAATTAAAAACAACAATTAGTATATGTACATACGTAAATATAATATATAAACATAAACATATGTATATAAGTATGGATTCGTGCATCGACTGTTTACTAAATAAATTGTATTGGCATGCAATGAAAATGACAGTTAAAAAATATCTGTACATATGAATATTGATATGAATCAAAGGTTATCTGCCGCATACACGTATGTATGTATTTAATATTAAATGATTATATCTCTTACCTTGCAATCACATTATGTATATTTATTAAAGCTTCCTGTTGCTGCAGATACAATTTTTCTTCTTTACAGCTAGACTCTGTCACTCTATCTCCTATTAGGGGGAGGGCGGGGGGCAAAGAGCTTACGTTTCACTTTTTAGAAGTTTATGATTAAGTAGGGTAAGGCTAGACTGAGGTGGTTGATCCTAAAAAAATCGATATAGTCACATATAGAACACTTTGCATCTGTCATAAATCTGCAAATGCTCTTGATGTCTATATGTGTTACTCCTTTCATCCACGTACTTTCAGTCTCACCATCAGTTGACATATAGCTATTCTGCAAACCCTCTAGCTCCACTGCGTGGTTAACAATCAAAAAATGTAGCGAAAGAAACGTCTCCGCATTATTAATAGTAGACCCCGTGCAATTGGATAATACAAGACCTCCTCGCTTACCTTACTCAGGTTACGACCTTCTGTGAAGAGTTTTGTACCTCCTTTTCTTTTGTGTCGCTCTCTTCTTCCAGTCTTCCTGTGAAAGAATATGACGTGGAAGAACAAATTTGGCTGAAAATAATTTTCAAAGAGACTGATACGAGACATCGTATGTAAATTTATTATAGTGTAAGACACGACCTTAGCAAATATCATTAAGCTTATTAACTAATTCATCCATCTATCCAACTGTCTGTTCATGAGCCTTTTGTCAAAATGTCGAAAGTGTAGACGTTCACTTGATTAGAGGCTTTTATCGCTTAAAATTCCAGAAGTTAAGTTAGATTAATAGTAAGGTAATAGTCATAAGGTTTTTTCTCGAAGAGTGATGTGAACTCGAATAGTGTACTCTCCCTGCTTTTGTTCAATTTATAAATTTCGGAGCTTCATCCTCAACCATGGGGGATATCATATGTGACGGGAAACCTCCTCATGTTGTATATGGAAGACTTCCATAGTCAGCAATATATGCTTGGATATTATTCCAGGCTTGACCCCGAAATACCCAACATATGTTCTGGATGTAATGGCACTAACCATATTGGTTGGTTCCACTCCGTACTTACTTACGTACTTTATTGGTGTAGACATCGGTTACGCGGTTATAGGCGAATTTATAACATTGCGCCATTCATTCCTTTTCCTCGCCAATTGGAGAGACTAAGTAGAGCGTGGTCTCTGGGGGGATCTCTTCCACGGCTTTCACCGGCGGGTACTGCATCGAAAACTCTCAAAACTGGAGTATTTTTATCCAATGTATACGCTGTTTCTTGATTCGCTGAACTATGTTAATGTCGCCGTATAACTCGTACAGCTCAGCGTTCCATCGTGCCAATGAGCAAAGGACCATAAATCTTACGCAAAACTTTTCTCTTGAAAAGTCCTAACGCCGACTCATCAGATGTTGTCATCGTCCATGTCCCCCACTATATATCAGGATGGGAACGGTAAGCGACTTGTGGAGTTTGATTGGCGTACGCCGGCAACTCTACAGTCTTATAGTCACACGTAAGGAATCACCTTATCTGAAACCTCGTTTGGTGTCAAACGGCCAAGACTTGGATCAATGATTGATCTACTAGGTCCAATCAATTTGTTGACGGTGGGCTTTGGGCTTTCTCACAATACGCTCGACAGGACCTTATATCCGATATTAAGGAATCTTTTCCCACGATATTTGGCGCAGACTGTGGGATCCCCTTTTTTATAGATCTCGCAGAGCACACATTCCAACCGTCAGCTCTAGCCGCCTTGTTGTTTTTTAAGCGGTCAATTGCTATTCGAACTACTTCATGGTCAGGTAATGGAACGTCTTTTGCATCGTCATCGATTGGTGTTTCAGATTCGCGACCTCTTGGTGTTCCATTTTCAATGCCCTCCGTAGGTTGGAAAATTTTCCCCACCATAAATACAAAATTCTCTGAACATCGGTTGCTAAATCACCTCTTTGTTTCCTACAGTAGTCTGCTCCTGTCTTAAAACCTTCTGTAAGTCGTCGGCCAGCTTTTCAAGCTCTTTATACTCATGCAATTATTGCTCAAATCTTCCTTTTTGACCCACACTTCAACGGCATTATAAGATTATAAGAGACGCACCTTAGGGGAGTTAGGAAGTAATATTTTCTAAATAAATAAGTGAAACGGCGGGCTGCGAAAGCTGAATGGTTAGCATTGCGTACTGGCACTTGGAAGGTCAGGTTCCTCATTGAAAATCTTTAGCCACTCGGAGGGGGCTTAAAATAAACTGTAGGTGCCTGTATTTGTTGGAAAACATCAAGAAATGTACCATAAATTAGAGGAAAATCACTTCAGCGGTTAAGGACTCGCATATATATTTATATGTGTACGTGTATAAGTCAAACCTTTACATATAGTATATGTTGGCGATGAATTTTCTTGACAGGGGCCATCAATGAATATGAGTTTCAGACTCCCTACCTTGCTTTTTCATGCAAATCTTGCTGCAATTAAGGAAGGTGGGGTCGTTAGAATGGGAGTTTCACAAAGTAGTCCAGCATCTCTTGCACACAGTTGGCTAATGTGGCTTTGAGTTCAGCTTTCGAAAATTAACTAAGTGGATATTTTAAAATCGTGACACATTTATAATGAGGAACAAATACTTTGTAAATAGGTTCAAAGCCTTAACACAGGAGTAGTTGGCAGTGTACACTATCATGCCGAAGGTCATGGGTTCATATTGGGTAATTGAAGCCTTCTCTTGTCAGGTAACGACGAATCCTTGGATCCTATTTCTAAATCAATCTGCCTTTCGGAGACGATCTGAAATAAACTGTATGAAAAAACATGAGGGAGGAGCAGATCAGTCGAAAATCGTTTCAGCATTTATAAAGTACTAATTATATATGTATACTCGTATATGTATAAAAAGTATAAAATTACCCAAACTTATTTTTATTTTTTATTTTGCGAAAACTAATTAATGTGGGTATTTGAATTGTTTTTTTACAGATGAAGTTTCCAGAACAGACCTTAAGTTTTCCTAATCTGCTATGCCTTAGCTTTGTTGTGATCAGTCTTGTATTTTGCGTGGAACTATCGCCGCATTGTACAGAAGCTCTACCACTGCTGCCCGGTGGCAGCACCGAAGTAGAGTTTAAACGCTACTGCAGTACGAATCTCTCAGATGCTATACGTCTAATATGCGGCGGACGTTACTATTCACTGTCGCGAAAGTTTCGTAAGTTCTAAATACATAACATGTAAATAGAGATATATATTTTAATATTGGAATTATCATTTTGTAGCCGATAGTGTAGGCATGGCACAAGTATCCAGCCTGAAGCGATTGGCTGGCGAGGATGGCGAATATCGGCAACCTTTTCAAGGCGCCATACACGAATGTTGTCGGCGTCCTTGCGGATATTCGGAGCTCAAGTCTTATTGTGATCCCGATTACTGATCTTCGTTTAGCTAAAACTCAGAAACTCTTATGAGTTGCTCACACGCGAAATTTAATTCATTTAAATATGTATTAGCCATAACCTCATGCATTTGAATCATACGAATTTGTTTTAACGATATTAAATTTTAATGGTAAAGAAAGTCTTAAAATTTATTATTACATTAGTTTAAGAAGTGAATATCTAATATTTAAATATTAGTTACTTATACTTACATACAATACATACATACATACATACATACATACAAACACACATGCAAACATGCATGCTTACAAATATGCGAACAATGAATGGTGGATATGCATATGTATGTATGTAAGTGTATGTAGAAAAAACGGAAGAAGTTAAAGGTTGATAATGCGACCCATGTGATATATGTACGTGAAGTTAAATTATTATTGTAAAACAATGAGGAAAACAACAAACAAAGACAATTAATTGACAATGCGTGATCTGTTACCAACTGATTGGACTTTGTTTTCTCATGCATACATACACACAAATATAATATATACAACTACAATTTATACACGTATGTATGCATGGATTTAAGAGTATATTGAAAATGTGGCTTGTGCTGTTTACAAATTTTATATAACGAGTATTTGTTGAGGTTAACGAATAAATTAATTGTTTTGTTTTATTTCTACTCAAACACATTTATTTCTAGTTAAATTGATTTTAGTCGAATTTAGGAAAAGCAACGTACAGAAACGAAGGAGTTTATAGTTAGTAAATCATTTATCAATTATAAAATAATATTATTGTACTTTACCTAACTCGCTGTATAACTAAATTAAATAGTTTATAATGTCAAAGCATTTTTAATACAAAATAGTGCTAATGTCTAATAAAATGAAAAATATCTCTAATATGTCTTATTTTTCTTTGAGCCGAGGGAAAGTCTTGTTAGCACCTGAAATAAGTTACATTTTCGGGGACGTCCGGACGTTGATTAATTCTGAAAAGTCCAAATTTATCAATAAATCATTGTTATTAGAAAACTAGTCTTTGAAAGCTTGGAATTCGACCCGAGGCCAGGCAGGACCGTTGTGGTGACCACGGCAGAAAATTGATGCTGGGGCTTAAAACTTTGGCACCGATGATGAAGCCAAGAAGTCAGTTTCGGCGTAATTTAAAGAGAAAAAAATTTTTAGATGAGAGTGTGGAGAAATTAATGGAAGATGTGAAGAATGTAGCTGTCTTACAGATGAATGGAATGGTTTTTTATTTCCACTCCCTATGCCCTATTCCGCGAACATAAAAATACTCCCTCGTGTATTATAATTTTTAGAAGAGCGATTTTAGCAAAAAATCTATGAAGATCGCTTTTTTTATTGCACTTAATTTTCCATCAGAATATGTGCCTATAATAGTAGAAAGCTTACTTGTTAACGAGAAATATTAGATGTAAACTGGGACGAAATCCCTTGGTAAATTGTATGAAGGTTCATTTTGATGACACAAGCATACACCGAATCATCTCTCCGCGTTTTAAGAATGATTCTTAGTTTTTCTTAAAGTAAATAATATATTTTTTATTGTCAATTAGTCGTTATTTTATTAAATTGAAAAAATTAAGCAAAATACTTCTCTCTCGTTACTGAATATTTTGAGTTGCTTGAAATCTGTCGCACGAACTAGAGTCCAGCAGGGTTTATAGAATATAAGTTTACGACAAGAGTGAAAACATGTTTAATGGCGAAGTTGGTTTAATTTTGAGGTTGCCGAAAATTTAAAAAAAAGTATCATAATTTTATCTTTGAAAACCGTAAAATTTTGTTTATAAAACTGTAGAGCCTTTCATGGTAAAATAATAAAAAATTAAAAATAATAATAAAAATTTAAATTTCAAAAACTTTATAAATTATGAAAATTAATATGATTTTTTATCATAAATTTCTATGGCTAGAAACTTTAACTTTTGGTGCCGTGCAATACGGATGGCCTGAGTAAATAATATCAAAAACGTGTAAAATTATCAAAATTCTAAGAAACAAGATAGGTACGGCTTTTCAAATATTTTCTCTGTCTGCTAAAAAGCTTTTGGGAAATGGATGATCCCTACCTTGGGAAAAAACGTGCGGTGAAAAAGTGTGCAGTGGGATGTTGTGGACAAGAATTTGAAAAAGAAATGGGTATGATTTATATTAGCGTTTTCTGTAGAATTAAAACCAATATGAGATGTTGTAGCACAGTCGTTAGCCGCCCCACAAATTTTATGGTTTTGGCATTAACAAAATTTGAATTCATCGGATAGTTAACAATATGACAATCTGCAAAAAAAGGTAGCTACCTACGTATGAACGCCACCGCAGCAGTGCCTTTGTATAAAACTCTTATTCACATTTGTTGAAACTCGGCCACCAATTGGGCCCCGGTTTGAACAAAACAGGCCACTCCTTGGACGCTGCACACTAGATTGTTCTTCGATATTTTTTGCGCCATTTTTAGTCAAGACATGGCCAAATCTGTGACTGCGGTGGCTTGAGTGCGTAAGTGCAAAAACAAAAATTGTATGATTTGTGTTTTCTTTCGAATAAGAATATATTTCCCATATTTAAATACACATAAATTTTTTAAATAAACAAATTATTTTATTTTATTATATAAATATGAAGTGCCGACCACAGTATATAGGACGAAGTCGGTTCGGTGACGTCAACGGTTGTTGTAACCTTGTATTCTATAAACCTTGAGAGTCCAACAGCAATAGCATGTCATACGAGGGGTGGCTTAAAGTATGGTAAATGTAGTTTTAGGTTTTTTATTTTTCAATATTCAATATTCTTTACAGAATGGTGTTCTACGGCCGCTTTCATATTACTATCGTAACTGTTTTTTTTTTTTCAATTAGAAAAAAAGGAAAAGCGACTTTGGAGCCAGGTCCGGGCTATAGTGTGGATGGCCAATTTTTGTAAATCCAGTAGCTTTTAACGCATCCCTCGCAATCTGAGCGATATGAACTTGCCACGCCTCTTCTGTACGACTACCTCACGCGTCTAACTCAATAAACTAGAGTAATACTGGCTGTTCATTGCAGTTTCCGTCGGCAAGTAATCAATTCATACTATTCCCTCGATATCCTAGGAAATGATATCCACAATCTACTTTGGTGGCCTAACCAAACCAAACTTCATTAACTGTGCGGTTGCAAATTTCATCAAAAACTTCTTGGCACAACTCCAGAATTTTTTGTTTGTCGAGCAACGTGAGCATTCACGGTACCAAACGCATACAAATTTTTCATATTCACAAGCTCATGCAACATCCAGCTCGTTCTTTGCTAGTCTGTAATCCTTCTGCTATCCACCACAATTTAATTCTTCGATCAGCCATCTTCTTGTTGACACAGCGGAGCCCATTCTTTACCATCGTATATGAAAGAGCTGAGTTCTGAAGAACCGAATCTTTCAAATTTTCTTTCGGCGTACTTCCTTTTTACAAGAAATTTAGTCGCAGCACGGTGCTCTGAATTGCGAGAATTTCCAGTTTCCGTTGACACAGTGTTGTTGTTTTTTCCAGAAACGATATGTTAATGAACTTAATAAAAAAGTTGCGTTATTTATACTAATAATGAGTAACGAGATGACTGTGAGCCGCCCCTCGTACCCTCATCCCAAAATCATTGGTATAGTCTTTCGATACTAGCTAGATGGTGCAACCGCTCTCCTTGTCAACTCACCCATGTTTTATGGGAATGTATCTTTAGAGACACTCTAGATCCAATCTTTTGATAACTTTCCAAAAAATAGCCAATATTTTGCTTTCCATTCGTCGAAATTTGAAAAGATGTGAATGATGCTGTTTCATGAGGAGTTAAATCTTTTTTGTGAATTTTTTGTGTCGGCCATTAATTTTCCAACATTAGTCAAAACAAATATTTATTCCTTGATTAAATATTTCTTTGATGAAGTCTTTGATGAAGTCTTTGATAAAGTTCAGTTTGATGCCCAAGCTCATATTGAGTACGACTGAGATGGGAGTTGGGGCCAAGTGTAGAAGTTCACGCAAGTGAGGAAAGTTTTTGACTGCCATTCACCTGGGAGTGGCCAGAAAAGATTCTTTTGCATATGGTTCAAGTAGCTCACGACTTCTGGTCTTAGACCTCGTATCCCCTCGGTAGCAAACAAATATACATTTGGAGGTGAGTCAAAGTGAGAAGACGAATCCCATGCGGTTGTTCGTAGGGTTTGGGACCCGCCACATAAAAAACAAAATCCAATGAAAAATTTAAATTAGTCTCGTATGAGGGACCTCCTTTTGATGACGACCTCGCAAATGTGTTAAGGAATGGAATGTCTGGTCACTTAATTGGGAAGGTGTCACTGCCCAGATGGTTGAAGGTGGGTACTTGTGAAATTTACTACAGCGACCATATAAAGGACCGCAAATTTGGTGTCAGATTCGTGATGGAAGAAAGACTCCGTCGCCGAGTACTAGCATTCACTCCGATGGATGAGAATCTCGCTACGATCCTCATCAAAATGAAATTCTTTAACACTACGCTTATTTGGCGCCTACGCCCCGACGGAAGAGAAAGAGAGGGATTTGATCAAAGACACCTTTAACAAGCGCCTCGAGCACACTTATGAGTGCTGCCACCTCCACAACGTCAAAATTGTACTTGAAAACTTCAACGCAAACAAACAATGTATTTTTGATCGACTTCGCCAAGGCTCGAAATATAGTTGTCTGTTGTGCCATATTCCAGCATAAGAAAATACTTCAAGCTACTTAGCTGTATACTGAACGAAAAACTCACAAACAGATCGAACATGTTGTGATAAACGGAAGACATGTATCCAGTGTTCTTTACGTGCGTATACCCGATGAACCAACCTTGCGATCCGCTACAACACGTGCGGGGTGGAATAGACACCTGCTGGAGAGAAGCATCTATAGACAAAACATGAAAGAGGCCGAGATGTGTGAGTACGAGGAGCTTGAGAAGCCGACAAGGGTAGTGCCCGAAAATTCTAGGATAAGATACGGCGACTTACTTACGAAAGATTTCAAGACCAGAGCAAACTCTTGTAGGACCCAGAGGAGTGAGCTAGTGACTAATGAACAGAGTATACTAAATATATGGAGGGAGCACTTCTCCAGCCTGCTGAATGGCAGTGAAAATGAAACACCCGAAGAAAATGCATTGGAAACACCAATTGATGGCGATGGAAAAGTTGTTCTATTACCTGTCCGAATAGGAATCGCCTGCTTATAAAACCACGGAGCGGCAGGGACCGATGGATTACCGGACGAGCTATTGAAATACGACGGGGAAGAACTGATCGGGTTCATGCATCAGCTTCTTTGCAAATATGGTCGGAATCTAAGTGTGCTCTGTCCAATCCACAAAAAGGTGATCCTACAGTCTGCGCAAATTACCGGTTTAATATCGCATATAAGGTCCTATCAAGGGTATTGTGATACCGTCAGCAAATTGATAGAACCTTGATTGAACCTTATCGGTGTGGCTTTATACCTGGTAAATCAACAAATCTTGTAAACGATCCGCGAAAAGAGGATCGACACACACCACCTTTTCGTCGATTTTAAAGCAGCCTTCGACAGCACGAAAAGGAGTTGCCTCTTCGCCGCTTTGATATCCCCGCAAAACTTATACGGCTATGTAAGCTGACCTGAAGCAGCACTGAGTTCCGTCCGTTCGATACCAAACAAGATTTTTGACAAGGTGTCTCTCCATCGTGTGACTTTTTTTAACTTATTGCTAGAGAAAGTAATACAAGCTGCAGAGCTAAATAGAGAAGGTACAATCTTCTATCAGAATGTACAGCTGCTG